GTGGAGCACAGCTCTGCATGCTGAAGGGGCATGCAAATGGCCACATATCGCTCCAGAGTCATTGCTGTCAGAGTAACTGGTGTGACTATTACATACAGAAGTACCACAACAGAGATAATGATACATAACCAAACTTGTATGGTAAATTCAAAATGGGCCAAGATGAGCAGAATATTAGACATAAGTAATATAAAGCTATCAGACAGAAGTGTAACAGCAAATAAGATGTAGCGTGCAGTTGTGTAGAAGCAATCCTTTCTGAAAAAGGTTACAATGAGCAAAAAGTTAATGCAAAGAAATATCATCACCAGGATCTGCACAATAATGATCTTTTCATTAATCTGCCTCGGTGAGACCTCACCACCAACCGATGAGTTGTTATCAGCCATCACTTTTCAAAACAAATACACAGATTATTAAGGTACTTCCAAGTGTTAAATTATTATTATTAAATGTCTTAGTGAAAAGAAAATTAGATTCCTATCATAAAAAGACCAAACCCTTCCCTGCAGTAGCATAGCGTTGTGGCACACATTTCCAAAGACAGATGTTGTCTGTAGAGGTCTTTGCAGTGTTCTGAGTGAGGGCTGCGCAATAATATTTTATAGGAGCAACTAGAGCACACGTAAATGAGAGTGACGGCAAATTACACTTTGCTCACCACAGTGTCGTCATTGCCACTTTCTGCAAGTTTTGTGGCTCTCACTAGACACATCCAGGTTGTAGGTAAAGGTCAATTTTAAAACAGCATTTTTGCTCAAGTCCTTTATTTGTGGGCCATTTTAAGTTGGTGTCAATCACTGTTCAATGTGTTCTTTTCTGTATAATTTATTTTCCTCTAAACAAACATTACTCAAAATCAAAGAATGTAAAATGCTCATATAGCTTTACAAGTTTAATATTACCACACTATATAAATTAGCAGTTGTTTATTGTTAATACAGTCCAAGCACTCTCTGTGTCATGTCTGTCGCTAGGTTTGGATGCAACATGGACCTTTATTCAATATTTAATAGAATTTAACATGAAAGGCAGAAAAAAAGCTAAAAACTTGGGCACCTCAAATGCACAGTGATGCAACAATACAAACACAGTGTTGAGCTTGAACTGTCATGTAAAGAAACATTATATAAGATTTGGGATTTGAGCAATATTGTGCAATACCTCTGACGTAAATATGGACAGCTGTACACGTGAATTGTTTATGATTGCATGATTTATGGCCAAAAACTAGCGAGTCTTTGCTAACATAGCAAAACATTGAGCAAGTGCAACAACACAAGACATAGCAAGCTAATATTACTGACAACAAGAAAGCCAGCTCGGCATCTGTCTGCAACCTTTTAATTCACAAAGCTCTGACCAACGACAAAGATTTACTCTTGTCTTGTGGCTTCTTCTTCAGCTCTGGTTCTGGCATAACACAGGCTCCACTCTGTGTCAGCTTTCCCCACTGGCTTTCGCTCGCCGTGGGCCTGAAAACCTTCTTATCCTGTTGGTCTGAAGCCACTTTGCTTGCCGTGTAAATACACCACCAAATATGCTTTGAGCTCTCACTCCAGGCTGAGGACTGGGACAAGTCAGTGTAGCATGGAAATGAATATGAAACTGTTATTTTAAGGTAGAAAAGTTACATAATAAGTTAAATAACAATGCAGTAACAGTCAGACTTATAATAATAAACCAGAATTAAGTAAAAGTGAATTGCATACATATTCAGTTGATTTAATTAGTGCATGGTTTAGTTTCTGTGCTAGAAAATTATTAATGTACAATGTCAAATATTTATTTTCTACAAGCCAAAGAAGACATAGTTTTTCAGTGCATTAAAAAAAGTTTCATCCCTGAGGCCATAAATAAGAGGACTCAGACATCTTGGAGTAACATTAAACAATATGTAGGTAGCATACCTGACATTAATAAATAACATTAAATCAATTTGAAATACAGCAGCTATGGGCCCACAGCTGGATGAGACAAAGGAGCAGCTGGAAACCATGAAGAATTACTGTTTTCAGCCCTTTCCATGTTGACTTTTTATTCTTCTCCTGATGCAGCTTTGGCAACTTTCATTATTTTAACATACGAGAATACAATGATGATACACATGATCAAGAAGTAAAACTGACTAACAGCTGACCTAAGGTGATCGTGCCACCTGTAATTTCTACAGTACATAGGCCTCTTACTATTGTTGTTCGACAAGCTAAGAAGATGGCGATGCAAAAGAAAGCAAGAGAGAGAGTATAACAATGCAGGTACAGAGCTGAGGGCGTGAGATGATGAAGCACAGTTCTGTGTGCCGCAGGGGCATGCAAATGGCAATGTAGCGCTCCAGAGTCATTGCTGTCAGAGTAACTGGTGTGATGTTAAAATACAGAAGTACCACAACAGAGATAATGATACATAACCAAACGTGTATGGTAAAATTAAAGTGGTTCATGATTAGCAGAATATTAGACATGAGCAATATGAAGCTATCAGACAAAAGTGTAACAGCAAATAAGATGTAGCGTGCAGTTGTGTAGAAGCACTCCTTTCTGAAAAAGGTTACAATGAGCAAAAAGTT